CTCGAACCAGTTTTTATTAACCAGACTGGAGGCATGGCGGGGAGGCCTCGGGAGGCCCCAGGCACCCCAGAATTTGCGAGTATTCCCCCAAATTGCAAAATATCCCCCTGAAATGGTTGGAAGGGGCAGCCCCAAGACTTCAGATCCCCCCCGAACATTCCAGGGGATAGGCTCCTAGAAGAAATGGAGGAGGGAAGCACAGCACACCCTCAAACTGCCTTTGGGAATCCCAGCAGCCCTTTCTCAGGCAGGACTCTGTAGGTCTGTCCGTGCACTCGGTGACACTGATGGCATTTATGAGCACTTGTGATGGCACTCTGGGGACCCTTGGTGGCAACATGAGCCCTGGGAGAGGAGATGCCAAGTTCTCTCCTTTCTCTTCCCCCACTGAAAAAGCCATGCTGGAGTCAGGGCAGAGGCAGTTTGAGGACATCCAGGGGTCTCCAGCAACTGGAATCATCCCAGTAGTACAACACCACATACTAGAGGTGCCACCACCCTTGCACAAGCCCTGTTTGGCCCTCAGCGGGGCCTTTTGGGGTGGTTTCCTGCTTTCTGAGGAAGGCAAGAGGAACTGCAGGCCCTGCTCCAGGGCCATGGGGACTCCTCTGGGCAGATGAGGATGCATGCAGGAGGAGCTGTTGTTGGATGGAGCCAGCCAACTGCAGTCCTTAAAACCTGCTGCTCCCTATCTCAAATGTCCCAGCTGGAAGGTAGGAATGCATCAGCTTGCCCAAAAAGTTTTCAAAGCATAGCCACCAGCAGCTGGACTGCTGGGCCTGAGCTGCTTCCCGGTGTGACACAGGGGACATCTGCACCATTACAGAGAAGGAAAGATGAGCACTCTCACCCTCACCAGAGTAGCTCAGGACCTACTTTATTGTAAGTGTATGAGGAAATGGGTCTGGGAAGCCTTAAGAGGCGGCTTTGAGCCAGCCAAATTGCAGACTGAATTCTCTCCCTCTGAGAGGGAGCATTTGGAACATATCCAATTGGTTTGGGGCCAGAAATGAGCCTTTGGACTCTACAAATGAGGCTTTGAACCTCCCAGATCAAACTTGGGGCCTTCAAAATGATGCTCTGGACCCTCTAAATGAGTCTTTGAACTTTAAAAGCATAAACCTTGTGACGTCTAAATGTAGTTTTGTAGTATGAAAATGTGGGTTTGTATCTTAAACTGTTTGGTCTCCCAAGTGTAGGCTTTAGGGATTTAAAAGTGATGCTGTTTTCCTTACTTTGGAGGATTGCGTTATATAAATCAGGCTTTGTACTTGAAAAACTTGGGGTTGAATCAGAAAAATAATCCTTTGGACCTTGAAATTGTAGTTCAGGATCTCAATTTTTTTTCCTGGGTTTTTTATTTGTTTGCTTTGTTGTTTTTTTCTGGAGGGGGGGGTGTTGTTTGGGTTTTTTTTTGTCACTGAGATTCATGTTCCAACCCTAAGAATGAGGGGGTTTTGACTAAAGCATTCCTGTGTTATCAGCCCTGTTCTTAGAACAAACCTATCGCCCTCAGGGTGGTTAACCCTGGGGCCTATCACACTTGGGGGGGATTAATCCTCGAGGCCATCTCCTTTGGGGGGGGGCAACCACCCTGGTTGTTTTTTACTCTTCGGGTCCATTAGTCCTTGATCCCATCACCCTTGGGATGATTAACCCTGGGCCCACCAGAGGTGCTTTACCCTATTGGCCCATCACATCTCAGGCCTGGCCCCCTCAGGGTTATTAACCCTGGGGGACCATCCCCCTGGGGGCTCATCCTTTTTGCTTTGAAGGACCCTGGGGCCCACTAAGGTGACCATGAGCAGCAGGATGCAAAGGATAATGCATCACTATCCTGGCTGGCACTTGGAGGCAGGTGGCAGCAGTGTTGTGTGCTCCTTCCTCTCCACTCAGTACTGGTGAGCCCACCCTTTGAACACTGGGTCCAAGCCCTGGGCTATCAGTACAGAACAGATTGTCGGCAAGCCAGCCCAGGAACAGGCCTTGGAGATGCCCCATGGCCAGGAACCTCTTGGAGGGGCTGCAGGAGCTGCTCAGCCTGGAGCAGGTTTGGCTGCAGAGGGTCCCACCGAGGTATGGTCTCAAAACTGGCAGAGGAAGGACAAGAGACACCAGGCACACACCCAGAGCCAGAGTGACTTGGGAGGACATGTTTTTTACTGTAGGGTTAACTGAGGCTCCTTGGGAAAGTTCTGGGGTCCCAAACTGGGGAGGGGTAAAAGGCCACCTGGACATGGCTATCGTGGTTTCCCTGGGGCTTGCCTGAGACCCCAGCACCCCCTGAAGGGCCCTGCTTCACCCAGGACTCTCCTAGGGGCCTTCCCAGGCCTGCTGACCCCCAGAGATCCTCCCAAGCTAAGACCCCATGCTAGTCTTTGCTGTGCCCTGGTGACCCACCGGGGCTTTCTTTGGAGGGGAACAGCAGGTGATACCAGGGACACAGGGTGGACTCATCGTCTCCCCCAGGCCAGCACATGGAGTTGGTGAGCAGCATTGCGCAGCCGCTCACGGTGCTCAAGGCGGCAGTGCAGCCCCGAGGGGACAGATGTCAGTCCCCCCTGCAGCCCCCAGCACCCAGCAGCGATGGTCCCCGTCGAATCGTTGTCCCCACCATGCAACACTGCCCTGCCACACAGGTCTTCCCAGCATCCACCGGCTGCCAGCAGGGCTTCTAGGGCCACCATGGGTGCATCATGGCCACTGCGTCCTGCCCACCCCTCCAGTGCCCAGCCTAGGTACACTGTGTCCCGCTCGGCTGGGGACGGGAGGGATGGCACCTGGGCTGGGCCACGACCCTCCAGAAGCCCACGGGAGTCCAGGTACCTGCAGGGACATGGGGACACTGAGGTCACTGGGGATATCGGTGGCAGCAGGGATGACACTGAAGACATGGGGAGTCATCAGGGACACTGGTGTCAGTGGGGACATTGGTGTCACCAGACAAGGGGGTAACCAGTGACACTGGGGGTCACTTGGTGATGGCTCTCCAGCAGCCCCTGTGGCCCCAGGAACCTGTGAGGACACTGGGGACAATTGGTACACCTGGGGGGCACTGTGGCACTGGACACAGTGGGCACACCAGTAACACCAGGAAAACCCATAACCCCAGGAACCCTAGGGACACACAGGTCAGTGTCCCTGAGGATGGCATCGCTGATGGGACACAGGTGCAGCAGGAACAGGATGGGCAGTGCCAGCCCTGTGGACAGACTGGACATCAGGATCAGCAGTAACCCCAGTGCGATGCGCTGCCAGGACTGGGACAGAGCCTAGTGGGCACCAGTGACACCAATGGCCCCCTGAGCCCCTCCCAGTATCCTCCCCAGTCCAACCTCGTGCTCCCAAGGCCTTCCCAGTGACCCCTCACCGGTGCCAGGCCTCCCCAAAGAAGGGCCAGGCAGCAGCATTGTCCTCCACAGCCACACCAGTGCCCTCCACGTAGTCCCATGCCAGGGGCAGGACCCGCAGCAGCTCAGCCCCCCAGCGCTCTGGGGGCTCTCCCCGAGCCCCCAGTGCCCCAAAGAGGGCCACTGCCAGTGCCCCGAGGTACCCTGTGGGGACAGGGGCTTCAGGGGGGGTCCTGTGTCCCCTCCTGCCCTGCCTCCCTCAGGCTGGCACGCACCAGTGGGGTGGTGGTGGGTCATGCGCCCACTCTCGATGCTCACCCGGATCAGTGTCGGCAGCTCCCAGGCATGTGGATACCTGTACTGGCATCAGACAAGTCCCCACCGCCCCAGTCCTGTATCCCCAGCATTGTTCCAATCCCCATCCCACCACCCTTG